ATATATTTAAAACCTTTTACTATAATGGTGTGTTTGTCAATTATTTCTTGTAGTTTTGTCAATTTTTACTTCATATGCTTTGAAGCTTCATTTTAGGAGCACAGAATTTGAAATATTTTATCTTCCTGGCAAATTAAAGCTTTATCATTATAAAGTGTTTCAATTTCTTGTAAAATTTATCAACAGATTTGTTTTGAACAATATTTGCCTGGTGCATCTTTTTTCATCTCTCTCAGCTTTTCTGAGTACTTATATTTAAGTGTGTTGCTTGTAAACAGCATATTGTTAAATTTTTTGATCCACTTTTTACATGAATAATAAAAAGATCTTAGAATATTTTAACTCTAATCATCTCCTTCTTGACTTATATGTGCAAGTAATTTGGCACTTTCTTTTTTTAACCCTCCTCAGTTTAGACATTAATATTATTTATAGCCTATAAATCCTATATATATGTGAGATTTACTCACACATTTACTCTTTTTTTTTTTTTTTTTTTTTACTAGATCTTCCATTCTGCATCTCAGACCTTTGTTCTGGAATTTTCTCCTTCTGCTTGAGGTAGATCTTTTAAAAGTGCTATTCAATATGCTGTTCAAAATGGTGGAAATCATCAATATCTGTACTGTCCAATATACAAGCTACTGGCCACACTTGGTTACTGAACACTCGAAATATGGCAAATGTGACTAATCACTGAATTTATTATTTTATAATTTTATTTTATTTATTTTTTATTTTATAATTTTAACTTAAATAGCCATATGTGGCTAGTGGCTACTGCACTGGACAGTAGAACTTAAGAAGTTCCAAATAAAGGTCTTTTGATGATTAATTATATGTTTTTATTAATCTGAAAATATGGGGCACCTGGGTGGCTCAGTGGTTGAGCATCTGCCTTCAGCTCAGGTTGTGATCCTGGAGTCCTGGGATCGAGTCCCACATTGATTTTTTTGTTGTTGTTCCACAATTCATTTACTGAACTGGGACAGGTGATTTAACAGCAGATTGCAGGATAAGACTGGAAGGGAAGACTTCTTGCTTCCCCTCCCAGGAGCCAGCTATGTCATGGATAGCCAAAATAGCCACCTGTTGTTGGGCAAGTTGGGTGTGAAGCTGGAGGTTGGTATACATACATTCTGGGAGTCCCAGGCATTCCTTGGACTTGTGTTCAACTCCTGAGGGCAGCTTTATTCTTTGGATGTTCAGGAAAGTGGCCGGTGGGGAATTTGCTTGAAGATTAATAAAGCTTGACACAGAGGCATGGCATTACTTTCCTCTTTGACTCTTCCGTTTGGGTGGCTAGCATGCAGCTCCATCTGGACACCAAGAGGTGTGGTGCCTTCAGAGTCTCCCAGTAACAGGGTTTCCCTCAACGTTTTCCTTCTGCAGCACCAGCCCTTCTCCTGTCCTCCCCCACAGGGAGCCTGCTTCTCCCTCTGCCTATGTCTCTGCCTCTCTCTGTGTATCTCTCACGAATAAATAAATAAATAAAATCTTTTTTAAAAAAAATTCTGAAAATGTATGTATTTCACCCTTGTTCTTGAAAGATAATTTCTCTGTGAAGAGAATTCTAGGCTGACAGTATTTTCTCTCAACATTTTAAAGATGTTATGCTATTATCTTCTGGCTTCCATTTTTGCTCAATCTAATTTTTGTTCCCCTTTGGATATATATTTTCTCTCTGGCTGCCTTTAAGCTCTTTTTGTCTTTGATGTTTTGCAGTTCTGCTACCAGTAAGCACCACAGTGTTGCTAATATCCTCTGGCCCACCAGACTCAGGGTCTCCTTCTTGTCCAGGTATTGAGGAAGCTCTGGTTATTTCTCCAGGTAGGCTCTTTAAGGGGAGAGTTACCACAGCAGAACTCCTGACGACTAGTGACCTGCCTCTATGGTAACCAAACATTCCAATTTGCCAAGGACTGAGAGTTTGCTTGAGTCCAGGATATAGGACTTTCAGCGCTAAAAACATCAGCATCACGTGACAACCTGTTAGACATGTATAAGCTAAAAAATGGATTAGTCCTGGACAACAGGGACAGATGGTCACCCTACCTGGTTCCTCTTCTTCATACCATAGCCTCCCCCTCCAGAAGCACATGTCCCTTGGGGGAGGCTGGATAAAGATCAGGTCAGATATAGTATCATACTGTTCCTATAATCCCTGCTCCATAGATTCAAGACTCTGATAAGCTGATCCATTAGCCATACTTTTTTTCTTCTTGGCAATGCTGTCTCCAGAACCCTATTGGCTCTCTCTCCATCCACAAAGCTCAAGGTGTCTTCAAGAAAACTGGTTTCAGAGTAGCCAAGTCAAACAGCTTCCCACAGGTATCCTGGGGTAGATACACTGTACATTGTAGATATGGTGAGGCCCTCTTTAGAGTTCTGGGACACTCTATCAAAAGGTACCAAAGGTCTAAGATAATTGGAGAATAGGTCCCTGCTTTCACTTTTTTGGGGTATATATCCAGAAGTAGAATTGCTGAATCATATGATAATTCTATGTTTAATATTTTGAAGAACCACTGTCCTGTTTTCCACAGCAGCTTTACTGTTTTACATTCTCACTAACTGCACAAGGATTCCAATTTCTCCACATCCTCACTAACACTTGTTATTTTCCGTTTTGTTTTGTTTTGGCTTTTTGATAGTGGCCATCTCAATGGATGCAAGGTGACACCTCATTGTACTTTTAATTTGTAATTCCCTAATGTTTAGAGACGTTGAGCATCTTTTCATGTACTTGACTCATTTTTGTTTGGATTGTTGTTGTTATTGTTATTGGGTCGAGTAAGTTTTGAAACAAACATTCTCCCTGAGACCCATCCATTAAAACCCTTATCTACCCAGTTACTTGTCTTCAGAATTAGAAGGCCTGGTTTTATCACTTACCACTTTCCTGGGTCACAAGAGTGATTTAAAATTTTCCAAAATTGGGGCAGCCCGGGTGGCTCTGCAGTTTAGCACCACCTTCAGCCCAGGGTGTGATCCTGGAGACCTGGGATCGAGTCCCACTTCAGGCTCCCTGCATGGAACCTGCTTCTGCCTGTGTCTCTGCCTGTGTGTGTGTGTGTGTGTGTGTGTTTCTCATGAATGAATGAATGAATGAATGAATGAATAAAATTTTCCAAAATTGAACCTGCTTTCCATATGCTTTACCTCCACCACTACCACCATCACCCCACCTCTGTCTCTGTGTCTACAAATCACTAGTCCAATTTATTTATTTTTTTAAAAGGTTTTATTTTATTTATTCATGAGAGACACACACACACAAAGAGGCAAAGACACAGGCAGAGGGGGAAGCAGGTTCCATGCAGGGAGCCCGATGTGGGACTCGATCCTGGGTCTCCAGGATCACGCCCTGGGCCAAAGGCGGTGCTAAACCACTGAGCCACCCAGAGATCCCCACTAGTCCAATTTAATCATCCTTTTTTTTTTTCTCTTCCTGCCTATGGATTTGTAGGACAGTAGAATAGCATTCTTTTCAATGTACATAAATTTAATTGAAAACATTTACTAAGTTGCCTTCTGCCTTTCCTTCTCCAGGCTACATTTTCCAAAATCCTTAAGAAATGGATTTTGGGGATGCCTGTTTAGCTCAGTGCTTGAGCATCTGCCTTTGGTTAAGGGCGTGATCCTGGGGTGCTGGACCGTGTCCCACATCGGGCTCCCTCCAGGCACCTGTTTCTCCCTCTGCCTATGTCTCTGCCTCTCTCTGTGTTTCTCATGAAGAAAGAAAGAAAGAAAGAAAGAAGAAAGAAAGAAAGAAAGAAAGAAAGAAAGAAAAGAAAAGAAAGAAAAGAAAAGAAAAGAAAAGAAAAGAAAAGAAAAGAAAAGAAAGAAAAAAGAAAAGGTTTTTGCCCAGCGCTATCATTCACTAGTATGGGGAAGAAATGAAAGATCTCCCTGGTCCTATATGAAAACAAGAAATCTAAGCCTTCCCACGTGCAATCCCAACGTGCAACGCTGGCCTGGGAACAACGTTTGCAGAAACTGCAGGATAAGGGGATCCTGGAATTTGGGCGGAAAGGGCGGGGGGCCTTACTGGAAAGCTCCTGATCTACCAAATGACGCCCAAGCTGCAGTACCTCCCTTCCACTGAGTCCCCACAGTCTGGCTCCCCAACAGGCCTGGTTTTCTCCCTGCAGCCGCCACCTTGCTCGCCGCTCCTGGCATGGAGCCTGATGTGGGACTCGATCCCGGGACTCCAGGATCGCGCCCTGGGTCAAAGGCAGGCGCCAAACCGCTGAGCCACCCAGGGATCCCCTTTTCCCCCCAATCCTACCGCACCTTCGGAGCCTAGAGCTTTGCACCTTTGGGCTCGCAGTTCCTTCCGCCTCCAAGGCTTAATTCCAGTCCCACTCAACTTTATGGGTGTTCCTGGATCCGCCCCAATTCCACTCTAATGATCAGTAGGGTTTCAATAAATGCTGATAGACCGAATGAACGAAGAAATGAAATCATAAAATCGTAACTTTCATCCCCACATCATTTAAGCAGAAAGACTGTGAAACTATGAAGTCAGACAGATCAGGCTCCAGGACCAGTTCTTCCCTTAGTAGCTGGGTGGGAGGTTCACCCTTCTGAGAGTTCAAGAAATGAATGAATGAATGAATGAATGAATGAATGAACGAACGAATGATAAGCTGTTCTTGCAGAAATGTGTGAAGAATTAAATGACTTAACGCTCGTATCGTCCCCTGGCCACCATCAGCGCTCAACAGAACTACTACTCTCCCTCCTATACCAGGTTCTGTATTTAGGTGGACCGTGAGTTCCCTGAGGGACGGGGATGACAGACTGGGTTCCCCGAGCTCCCCAAGGTGCCGGGTCACATTTAAGCGACTAGAATGTAGATGGAGGACAACAATTGTTAATGCTCCGGGCGAGGCTGATTATATACTTAATGGACCTGGCCTCTTCGCAGAGACCCCAAGTCCTAGCATCCCTCAAGAACCTCCGCTTGTTCCCGTACAAATGAAGGCCTACTATACCTGCAAATCGAGTCTGAGGTCCTTAGGACTGCAACCCACCCCGCGCCTCGGCCCGCGGTGCGCTCACTACTAGCTCCTCCCCGCTCACACCCCAGGCGGGGCGGTGCCTACGAGCCACGCCTGCGCACTGCTCTCCCCTTAGTCTCCACCCCCCTTCCCTTCTTTTCTCCTTCGCGTTTCGAGGGCCGGGCCCTTTTTGTCCCCTACTGCGAGCGGTGTCAGCTTCCGTGCGGAAGTGGCGGCCGTGAGGGAAGATGGCGGCGAACGTGCCCGCTGCAGTGGCTAGCCGGGCCAACAAGCGCAGCGGCCCCGGGCCGGGAGGCGGCGGCGGCGGAGGCGGTGGGGGAGTCAAAGGGGCGGAGGAGGAACCGCCGCCGCCCCTGCAAGCAGTTCTGGTGGCCGATGGCTTCAATCGCCGCTTCTTCCCCATCTCCAAGGACCAGCCTCGGGTGAGCGCCGCGCGCGGGAGCAGCCGGAGAGCCCGAAGGTGGCCGGGCTAGAGCAGGTTATTCTTTCGGCTGCCTAGTGAGGAGTGCTCTGGCGGATGGGCTCTCGTAGCACTGGCCACCTCAGGTTTGGAAGGCATGCAGAGGGCTAAATGTAGAAGCAGCTCTTGTGAGAAGCCTTCACACGGGGATGCAGTGCCTCAGAGGGAGGCCGTAATGCCTTTAATTATGCTGTGGAAAAGGAGATCCTTGGGTGAGTGGGAACAGCACGTCCTTTTGCCTGCAAAAGGGAGGCCGTATGCTTAAAAATAGAGCAGACCGGTCAACAGTCTGATCCCATAGTAACAGCTGTCTTGAGTCTCGATGGGTGTGCTTTTTTTTTTTCTTTCTTTCCAGGTTTTAATGACAGCCGATGCCATCTGTCAAAAGGAGGACAGAACAGGTTTAGTGGTTGGTTGCCAGCAGACCCCGTGTTGTCTAGATGCTGGGGGAACTGGAGGAGCTAGTTTTAGGGATTGCTGGGTCACTCAGGAGTCCCCAGTTCAGTCAGACGGGGAGCTGGATTAGGTCCGTGAAAAATCCTAACTCCCACTCCTCCCCAAAAACACCTAATAATGGTTGTTCATTTGGGACAAGTGATTGGAGTGGGTAGCCTCTGACTCCCCGTAGCAAAAGGTCAAGGGAGGAAATTTTATGGGGAAAATGGTTTTATCACTGCTTAAGTTTCTGGAGATATGATTGATTTTTAGCATTGTCCTTCGCCGAGGTGGCCTGCTGTTCTGTAGCAGCTATGTCCTGTGCTAAGCAAGTAGATTCCATGCTTTACTAGCTTCTCATGCCATGAGCATCAAAAGCAGGGGCCTGATTACTTTAACTTGCGAAGATAAAGTAGAACACTGGTAGGGAAGTGAAAATTGTGCTTAAGCGGAAGAAAGAGTAGTATCCAGAGGGCCTTCATCAATTCAAGACTTCAGACTTTTTTCTTCTCCTCCCCTCCAGGTCCTCTTGCCCCTGGCCAATGTGGCACTAATCGACTACACTCTGGAATTTCTGACTGCCACGGGTGTACAGGAAACCTTTGTCTTTTGTTGCTGGAAAGCTGTTCAAATCAAGGAACACTTACTGTAAGGCTCTGCAATTTTTCTTTCCATGTTTTGCCATTTTTTCCAGTTTCCTTAGGATGGTTGTAGCTAAATAAGGGGCAATTGTGAGGGGGAAAGATCTGTCTGTTTGGACTCCATCATAAAGACTAAGGGTCTTCTCTTCACTTATCAGAAGGTGAGCAGCTGGGGCATCCCGGGTGGCTCAGCGGTTTAGTGCCGCCTGCAGCCCAGGGCCTGATACTGGGGTTCCAGTATCGAGTCCCACATCAGGCTCCTGCGTGGAGCCTACTTCTCCCTCTGCCTGTGTCTCTGCCTCTCTCTCTGTGTGTCTCTCATGAATAAATAAATAAAATCTTTAAAAAAAGAAGAAGAAGAGCAGCAGCTAAAGTTGTAACAAAAATTAGAGAATAATATTTGGATTTTTTCTGAATCTCACTTATAAAGTTTGGTCCTATAGGTTTTGCTTTTATTTAATGGCTCCAGTATGGAAGTTATAATACTAACATCTTTCTTTTTCCACTGAGCTTCTAGATATTGAGCTCTTCCTCATCTTGTATTCCCAGTGCCCAGCTTAGTATAAAGCACATAATAAATATTTAACAAATGTTTGATGAAATCTTCTTGAAAAAGAGTGTGTATCAGGATTTATGGAAGTTCAGGGAAAAAAGACTAGGATATTAGCTTGATGTCCTTTGGACAGTTCCTAAATTTGGTTTGGACTTTGGATGGAGAGAAGGGGCATGGAAAGTGTGTTCCCAGGATATTTTGTATACTCTAAATCTCAGCAGGATATTGAATGCAAATCCATGTTAGGGAACAGGTTTCAGGGTTTGGAGAAGAAATAACCATGTTTCTCTAACCCATAAAACAATACTGGTGACACAGGATGCTGAAACCATTAATTATAGTTTACAAATCTCTTTGAAGTAGAAAATGCTGGCAGGAACCCAAAAAAAGCTATAAAGAAGGCGTGTGAATGTTGAATGGGTGAGAAAAATAAGGAAGCACTACATGATCTTTATGCCTGATTTGCTCGTTCCCCTCATCCCCTTCATTTAGGAAATCCAAGTGGTGCCGCCCTACATCCCTCAATGTGGTTCGAATAATTACGTCAGAATTATATCGATCACTGGGGGATGTTCTCCGTGATGTTGATGCTAAGGCCTTGGTGCGCTCTGACTTCCTTCTGGTGTATGGGGATGTCATCTCAAACATCAATATTACCAGAGCTCTGGAAGAACACAGGTCAGAATGGGAAGATGGTAGGGACAAAGGGTTTGTGACTAGCAGCAGAGCCCTAAGACTGCTATTTTGCTGCTGTCTCCCTCCTATCCTTTATAGATTGAGGCGGAAGCTAGAAAAAAATGTATCTGTCATGACAATGATCTTCAAAGAGTCATCCCCTAGCCACCCAACTCGTTGCCATGAGGATAATGTGGTAGTGGCTGTGGATAGTACCACAAACCGGGTTCTCCATTTCCAGAAGACCCAAGGCCTTCGACGGTTTTCTTTTCCTCTGGTGTGTGGGTATCTGGGGTCCTTGAAGTGGGAAAGTGACAGGCTTCAGCAGGAGACAGGTTAAAATCCTGGGTGGGCACCTGGGTGGCTCAGTCGGTTAAGCATCTGCCTTCGGCTCAGGGCATGATCCCAGGGTCCTTGGATCCTCCTCTGCTTAGCGGGAAGCCTGCTTCTCCCTCTGCCCCTCACCCTGTGCTCTCCCTCTCAAATAAATTTTTAAAATTTTTAAAATCTTTAAAAGAATAAAGTCCTATACCTTTTCCCCACAGAGTTTGTTCCAGGGCAGTAGAGATGGAGTAGAGATTCGCTATGATTTACTGGACTGTCATATCAGCATCTGCTCTCCTCAGGTGAGCTTTTCAGGGCCAGGGCTGCACATCCAAAGAGTAGAACTCTGAGTTCCACAGTAAAAAGTCGCTGTCATCCTGACTCCAGTATCCTTTTGGGAACCTTTTTGGGATTCTGGTCCTTGTCCAACCATCATAGCATCTGATAGATCTGTAGGGACTTATTTTTGTTTCCAGAGTATAGCACTCACCTTAGCCTCACCAAACGTCCTCCCACAGGTGGCTCAACTCTTTACAGACAACTTTGACTACCAAACTCGAGATGACTTTGTGCGAGGCCTGTTAGTGAATGAGGAGGTAAGAAAAGGCTCCCAGGCCTCTTTAGAAGAGGTCTGTGGTATTATCCCATGCTGATAACTTTTGGTCCCCTTTTGTGTTTTATTGAACCTTAGGATGAGGGAAAAGAACTGCAACAGAGAGGGAATGAAACCCAAAGAAAAATCTTGCCCATTTGACTATGACATTGAGGGGGAGAGGGTAACTTAAGTTTAGAAAAGAGTTGTACCTGAGTGTGTTCTTCCTCTTTTACTTGCTTCGGTGACCTCCCTTTTCTTCTCCCTATTCAGATTCTAGGGAACCAGATCCACATGCACGTGACAACTAAGGAATATGGTGCCCGGGTCACCAACCTGCACATGTATGCGGCAGTTTGTGCTGATGTCATCCGCCGATGGGTCTACCCTCTCACTCCAGAGGCGAATTTCACTGACAGCACAACCCAGAGCTGCACTCATTCCCGGCATAACATTTACCGAGGGCCTGAGGTCAGCCTGGGCCATGGCAGCATCCTAGAGGAAAATGTGCTTCTGGGCTCCGGTACTGTCATTGGCAGCAATTGCTATATCACCAACAGTGTCATTGGCCCTGGCTGCCACATTGGTGAGCACAGGTGGGGAAATCAGGATGATCTGGGAGCAGGAACCTACGGGACCCCAGATAAGGACACAGAAGGATAGTCCCTGAGAATAAGGAATAAGAGTGTCTGCCTTAATAAAGGAAGGAATGGGGATGTGAAATTTGTGGCCTATGGGCCTCTTATTGGGTGACTCTTCACATTCCAGAGTACCCTATTCACATTCAGGACCAAGTGGATACTTAACATGCAACAATAATATCTTTTTGGTGCACTGTAGTTTACAAAGGGCTTTGGCATACATTGTTTCATTTATCTTCACAAGGTTTTATTTATCTCTAGTTTATAGCCAAGTAAACAGGCTCAGAGGTTGTCTGCCTCAGGGTCAGGGTCATGGCTAATGAGAGGCAGTGCTAGGACTTGAATCTAAGTATTCTAAGTCCAGTGTTCTTTTTATTCAATCAAAGCTGTCTGGTTGGCTTCTTGGTAACTCACTTTGGTTATAAGAATGTGATGCTTCTGATGGAACTGTCCCTTTAAAAAATGAACAAGGAGAGGGGCGCCTGGCTGGCTCAGTTGGTAGAGGGGTTGTGAGTTCAAGCCCCATGTTGGATGTAGAGATTACTTAAAAATAAGTCTTTAAACAAATAAGTTAAAATGTATAAAAAGAGCTAGAGAGCTTTACTTCTACTTCTAGACATAGATATGATTCTAATAAGGTTTTTGAGCTGAAAGAGATCCTAGATATCTTGAAGGTTCTTAAGTTCTTAAGTCCAGTATACAGTCTTAAGTC